GGGTGAAGCCAGAGGATGTCCCGAAGACCGCGTTTCGTTCGAGATACGGTCATTTTGAGTATTTGGTGATTCCGTTTGGACTCACAAATGTGCCGGCAGTGTTCATGGATTACATGAACAGGATTTTCCAGCCGTATCTGGATCAGTTTGTGATTGTCTTCATTGATGATATTCTGATCTACTCCAAGACTGAGGAGGAGCATGTGGAGCATCTGAGCACAGTTCTGCAAGTGCTGAAGGAGAAAAAGCTTTATGCTAAACCTTCCAAGTGTGAGTTTTGGCTCAAATCAGTCAAGTTTCTGGGGCATGTGATTCAGTAGATGGAGTTGCAGTGGATCCCAACAAGATTGAGGCCGTGTTGGATTGGGAGAGACCCAAGACAGCTACGGAGGTGAGGAGCTTCTTAGGCTTGGCAGGTTACTATCGGAGGTTCATCAAGGGTTTTTCCACGATGGTTCTCCCTTTGACTCGCCTTACCCGAAAGGAGACTCCATTTGTGTGGACTCACGAGTGTGAGGCGTGCTTCCAGGAGTTGAAGGAGAGATTGACTTCTTCACCTGTGTTGATCCTTCCTGATCCTGAGGAGCAGTTTGAGCTTTACTGTGATGCTTCTGGAAAGGGGCTGGGCTGTGTGCTGATGCAGTCTGGTAGAGCTGTTGCTTTTGCTTCGAGGCAGTTGAAGCCTCATGAGGAGAACTACCTGACTCATGATTTGGAGTTGTTTGCGATTGTGTTTGCTTTCAAGATTTGGAGGCATTATCTTTTTGGTTTGAGGTTTGTGGTGTTCAGTGACCACAAGAGTTTGAAGTACATGTTCGACCAGAAGGAGTTGAACATGAGGCAGAGGAGATGGATGGAGTTCATAAAGGACTACGACTTTGAGCTTAGGTATCATCCTGGCAAGGCCAATGTGGTAGCCGATGCTTTGAGTCGGAAATCCAGTAGTTCATCCAGTTTGCTACTTGGTAACTTCGATGTGGTTGAGAAGTTCCGCCACTTGGCAGTGACCGCTCCGTGTGCGAGCGTACTTCTCGGGTTGGAAGCATCAGATGTCGTGAACGAGCTGCTAGAAAAGATTAAAGAGGCACAAGTTCAGAAAGAGTGTCTGGATTATGTGAAGAACTAAGACGGTGTGTCTTGGAATGATGATGGATTGCTTTTGTTCCAGCGGAGGATTGTGGTTCCTCGAGGTCCGTTGACAGAAGAGGTTATGGCAGAAGGCCATAAGGGTCAGTTTTCTATCCACCCTGGTGCTACTAAGATGTATCAAGACTTGAAGAAGAACTTCTGGTGGCCGGGCATGAAGAAAGATGTTGCTATCTTTGTGTCCAAGTGTTTGGTTTGCCAGAAGGTGAAGATTGAACACCAGAAGCCGTCTGGTAAACTTCAACCTCTTGAGATTCCAGAGTGGAAATGGGAGAGCATTTCCATGGACTTCGTTGTGGGTCTGCCGAAGACTCAGGTTGGCTGTGACTCGATATGGGTCATTGTGGACAGACTGACGAAGTCTGCCCATTTTCTTCCAGTGAAGGTGAGCTTCACTAAGTTATTATATATAAGTGGGATAATGTAAAATGATCATGACTCTTATTAATTAATATATTAATATAGTTATTTATTTTTTGGAGGAATATATTTGTTTTAACATTGAATATACTAATATATCTATTTATTCTTTTATTAAATATTATACTCATCTTAAAATTGAGAAGTCTAATTTTTTTTACCTATTTAAAGGTTTTAATGAAATTAAAATTTTAAAATAATTTTTTAGACTTCTATATTATCATAAACCAAAATCATGAAGACTTGGGCTTGTTATTAATAGATATAAAGCTTGTAAAAAAATTTAAGAGAGAATTGTAGTGATATGATATCTATGCAACTCGACTTTTCAACATCTGTGTGGCTTCGTATATAAGCTATGAAGCACTAACATTTCAAAAAATTTGACGTGTCGTGTTCGACACTCTCGGACACTTCGACACTCCCCGACACTCCAACACGCGTTATAGAAATTTAAAAAAAGGTTCAAAGGTTGTGTTGCGTTGAGTTTTTAGTTCCAACTATTAGATTCGTTAGATTACGATTACTATTTTATTGAGTTTAATATAAATATTTGAGATATCTTATGTTTTTTTGCAAAAATTATGAATATTATAAGTTTAGTGATGATGATTCATTAGCCATATGGTTTATTGAAAGGGGTAGGATATATTTATTATTAATTAAGTTTATCATTTCTTCTTATTAAATTTTAACCGTTGATTTTTGTCAATATGAAAGTTATATTTTATTAAAAATTAAAAATTAATTAATAAATGTCCAATAAATTATAATCGTTAGATGAACGGAAATCAATGGTTAAAATTTAATAATAAAAAGTGATAAATTTTAGGGTTCGCTTTTTCTACAGTCAATGTAGATAACTTATCTACATTGAACCCAAAACGACGTTATTTTGAGGCGAAAATCAAGGTATTTTTGTAATTTATTTCAGGGTTAAAATAGTCTTTTTTATTATAATTTTTTAATTTTTAACCCAAAACGACGTCGTTTTGAGAGCGAATATAGATAACTTATCTACCTTTACTTTAAAAACATTAAAGCCTAAATTTTATTGGTGGTAAGTGGATTTGTTCCGGGCTAAGTTGTGACGGTTTATTAGTCCTGCATCTTGCACAAATGGACATTTCAGATGTGATAGTTTAATGATCTAAATTTGTAAAATTTAATTAACTGAAATTTTTTAAGGAAGTAATGTTTTTGAAAAAATAAAATTAACTAACAAATATTTAAAAAAAGACGTAATTTTAAGTTGTCCGGTGCACGATATTCTATTTTCACAATTTTTTTTATAAATAATCATTTCATTCATTTAATTTTGTTTTGGTTAGACAAATATTTAGAAAATTTATTCATAATTTACTATCAGTCTATCACCATTTCTTAAATGGAAGTATAACATGTAGTGAAATTAATTTTCTATTCAAAATTTGATTCATGAATCTTGATTTCAATTTTAAAAAGGGTAGTATATTAAACAAAATAGTTTTCAAATTTTATTTTTAATTTACGTGAATTTGATAATAACTCAATTGTTTTATTTATTTCAGTTGTCAAGTTTAATTATATTTTTTGTTTTTCATTTGACTTATTTTGAAACTCTTATCCTTGGTCATGTCTTGACCATTTTATTTTATTTTTTTGTTAAATGAATGGTTAATAAATCTTCTTACATATTTTTTTAATCGCAATTGTAAAAAATATAATTAAAGTATGATTGAAATTCTTTCATTGTCATGCATCTTATATTGAAGTTGGATAGTTGAAAAACCTAGTTTCTGTTTATTATCGGAGCTGGTGGAAATAATACAATTATGCTGTTGATTGTGAACAACCAAAGACCTCAACGATGATCTTACCCAAAAAAATAAAAAAACCTCAACGATCATAGGGTTGAACGATCTCTTGACAAGTAACCAGACCGACACGGCGGATGAAAACAATGTCAAAATCTGAAATCATTACTTTGAATAATTAAGTTTGATATGCACCAAATAAAGTGCATTTAAGTTTCGAAATCTCCTTCCTTACCAGCGACAGTGACAGTGTCAGATAAAAATCTTAAACTTAAAGATGTTTGGTGTCACGTATAAAGCATAATAGTATTATATTATACGTTACGACATTTTTAGCTGTTTGATATGACCATCATATAGTATAAGCTTATATAACATAATTTCTTAATACATCAAAACGATGTATAACTTAATCCGGCTTAAGGATGAAGGATAAGGCCTGATAAGAGATTGATGTATTAATATCGTTGACCAATGTAATTCTCAAAAATTAATATATTATTTTAATATTAATCTATTAAAATAAAAATTAATTTTCAATATATTAATTTTTAAAATATTGAATATTTTTATTTTTATAAAAATTAAATTATATTTTGGACACACTCATCAATGAATTTTATAAAAATTAATATCATATGACATTTTTAAAGAATTATATAAATTCTTTATTAAAAGATATTTTTATTAAAAATATTTATTTTTATCATATATAATATTATATAGTGCATTACCAAATACTAGATGATATTATTATTTTATACAATACTGTGTCAAACGCCGGATAGTATTAAAATTCAATTAGGCCTTATACTATCAGGTCTTATACTATGTACCAAACGTGCTCTTAATGTTAGTGTCTCCAATTGAACTAACTTTTTTTTTTTTAGCAAAACATCTCTTCACACAAATTACTGAGATATATATCAGGGAAAAAAGAAAATTTATTTATGGAAAAAATATTTATTCGTTTAAGGGTTTGGTGTTTGTCATTTTAAGTGACATAAGTTATGTCATTTTAAGAGAGATAGACACAAGAAATAGAAATTATGGGAGAGAGAAAGTGGGTAATTTTTTTTTAATTTAAATTTTAAATAAATTTTTTTTCTTGTGTCTATCTCTCTCTTAAAATGACATAATTTTATGTCATTTAAAATGACAAACATTTTTATTTTCTTTTAAATATTATAAAATTATGTTATTTTGAATGAAAAAAAGATATAAATTAAATTTTTATTTAAAATTCAAAATTTAAAAAAAAAATTCTCACTTTTTCCCATGCTTGTATTATTTGCTAATAACACAACTCTAAATCTTTTAAAAGACCAATATCATACCCTTATTTAATATGATTATTTGCGTTAATTCAAACTTCAATAAAATATTAATGATTTTAAAAAAATAGCCTTAATTTTCCATCAGCCTGATTGGCTTCTCATTTTGGGCTGATTTTGTGAATCCCCATTAATTAATGAATCATTATTCACTAATCCCAAGCTATCAGTATGTTATATATGTGTATGAAAAAACAAAAACAAAAACTAATCAAAGTTTATCCACCAAATGTGTTGACTTTTCTCTGTTTCCGTTGTCTGTCTGCACATTCTGTTATCATTACTTCACTAAACGCTAAACATTGTAATAATTTCCATTTCACACTTTTTTTTTTTTTTTTTCTTTCTGTGTTCTCCAAAATTCAGTTCCTCTCACTAAAAATGGGCGCTTTCTCTTTCTAAATCTCGGCAAAGACAGATCATCGGAACGAGATGGGTTGCAACCAATCGAAGATCGAGAACGAAGAAGCGTTGGGGCGGTGCAAGGAGCGGAAGCGCTTCATGAAGGAGGCCGTGTCAAGCCGTAACGCCTTCGCCGCCGCACACTCAACGTACACCACATGCCTCAAGAACACCGGCGCCGCCCTCGGCGACTTCGCCCACGGCGAGGTTCAATTGCCTTCCTCCGCCGACAACTCCTCCTCCTTCATGCCGCCGCCGCCGCCGAAGCAACCCTTCGAGATTCCTCTGCCGCCGCCCCCTCTTCCCAATTTCACTCCCACCCCTCCTCTTCAGCGCGCCGCCAGCATGCCCGAGATGAAGATCCCCAAGCCCGAGCCCAAGCCCAAGTCCAAGCCCGTTGGTACCATTATTGAAGAGGAAGATGAAGAGGAATTGGAGAATGAAGGTTCTTTGAGGAAAAGAAGAAGCAACAGAAGCACAAGTAATAAAAGGGTGGATGAAGAAACGCTTCGACCTCCTGTGCCTCCTCCGTTCATGTCTGAGAGTGAGACGCAGCAACCTCCGCCGCAATCGCAGCAGAGCGCTGCTTGGGAGTACTTCTTTGCACCAATGGAGAACATGGCAGGGCCAAGCTTGAATGGGCCAGAAGAAGATACCCTCAACAAGGAAGAGGAAATTGAGAGGAAGGTGTTTGATGTAAAGCCCAATAGAAGGGATGTTGTGAACAAAGTTGTGAGAAGTGAGAGGGATAATGAGGTTCCTTTGCTGGAGCCCGAGCCTGAGCCCGAGCCCGAGCCCGAGCCTGATCCTGTGTTGGAGGAAATGGCAGAGGAGTCACCATTGCCACCTCCTAAGGTGAATCAGGCACCGGCTTCTATGGAGGGTAAAAGGATTGTGAAACATAGTCTCAATCTGCTTCATATTTTTGCTGATCTTGATGACCATTTTCTCAAGGCTTCGGAGAGTGCTCATGAGGTTTCAAAGATGCTTGAGGCCACACGACTGCACTATCACTCCAATTTTGCTGATAATAAAGGTACTTCTGACCTTGTTGGCTTTGTTTCTTTAGGAATTCAGTGCAATGTTGTCCTAACTAAATTTAGAACTTATAAACTAAAGAAAAAGAAGAAAATGGAAGTAGTGAAGAAAGAGAATGAACATAGAAATGCTTTGGTTTTTAATCGGAATGATTTATTTAGGCCCGCTTCAATCTTGAGAGTTGAGACCACATCATTTTGAGTAGTTGTTTGAAGTCATGAACTTTTAACTTCTTCTAGTACAAGGGGAAACAAACTGTGTATCGGTTGATTTATTTTGTCGTAGTATGTATCTTTCATGTTGAACTGTATTTATGCATTATTTTTTGTTTTTTATTCTTCTTGCAGGACACATTGATCACTCTGCAAGGGTCATGCGAGTTATCACATGGAATCGATCCTTTAAAGGAATACCTAATTTGGAAGTGGAGAAGGATGATTTTGATACAGACGAGCAGGAAACTCATGCTACCGTCCTGGACAAGTTGCTAGCGTGGGAAAAGAAACTTTATGACGAAGTTAAGGTAAGCTGACATAGCCAAATGTTATGTGATAGGAGTTTTGTTAGAGATAAAATATGGCACCAAATGATTTGTTTGCTTCATTAATCAGTTGCCTTTAAATAAGCTTAGAATAAATACAAGTAATTAGCAAAACTTGAAAAGAAACTGACTGACTAATCGCCTAAAGCTGTACGTGAAAATAGGCTAACAGCATGCTAACAAGCTATCAAATAGGAAACTACTAGGATTACAAGGAAACAGAATATATTTACATGCTAACTGAGGGTCGATTGTGTTGTGAATCCACCCATTTATCATCGAGTTGCACCGGACCCATGCACGCCATTCCGCGGCGTTATCCTTTTCTGGTTTCTTCACATCACCAGTGATGAAGCCTAGCTTGTTCTTTGCACTGAGTGCATTTTTCATTAACTTGGCCCAATTATCATAATTGGCCTCTCCACGCAGTTGCACGATGGTTAGAATCACACCTGGATTATCCGATCCTCCTAGATAAAAAGGAGAGTCAGGATTCGAAGGTTTCAGTGCGGAAGTATTTCGTAGGATCGCTCTGATACCAAGATAAAATATGGCACCAAATGATTTGTTTGCTTCATTAATCAGTTGCCTTTAAATAGGCTTAGAATAAATACAAGTAATTAGCAAAACTTGAAAAGAAACTAACTAACTAATCGTCTAAAGCTGTACGTGAAAATAGGATAACAGCATGCTAACAATATCAACAACTATGCTAACAAGCTATCAAATAGGAAACTACTAGGATTACAAGGAAACAGAATATATTTACATGCTAACTGCATATATTCTTCCAACTCTCCCCCTCAAGTTGGAGCATGTAAGAATGAAATGCCTAACTTGGGAAGGAATGCAAGAAATACAGATTGTCCCAAAGCTTTGGTGAAAAGATCTGCCAGCTGAGCGGAGGAGCGAACATGCGAAGTAGCAATGGTGTTCGCCTGAATGTGTTCTCGAACGAAATGGCAGTCGAGTTCAATGTGTTTCGTTCGCTCATGAAAAACGAGGTTAGCAGCAATATGAAGAGCTGCTGTATTATCACAAAATAACTGCATGGGTGTTGAATGATTTACACCAAGAGAGGCAAGGAATCCCTTTAACCAAATTAACTCTGCTGTAGCAGCTGCCATAGCTCTATACTCAGCTTCAGCAGAAGAACGTGCAACTGTGACCTGCTTCTTTGTTCTCCATGAAATAGGTGATGTGCCCAACATAACAAAATAACCAGTAACAGATCGTCTTGTAAGAGGACAAGAGGCCCAATCGGAATCACAATAGGCATGAATGCGGAGATCACATGCGCTTTTTAATAGAAGTCCTTGACCAGGATTTTGTTTCACATACCTTAACACTCGTAGGACCGCATCGTAGTGACCTTGTTTTGGATGCTGCATAAATTGAGAAAGGACATGTATAGCATAACTCAAATCTGGTCTTGTAATATTTAAATAAATCAATTTGCCAATCAGTCTCCTATATCTCTCAGGATTTTCGATATCTGGGCCATCAGCAAGACCAAGTCTATGATTTTGTTCAATAGGAGATACAGCTGGTTTGCTTCCACTAAGACCTGCTTCATGTAAAATATCAAGGGCATATTTTCGTTGACACAAAAATATCCCTTCTTTGTTACGGGCTATCTCAATTCCAAGAAAATATTTTAGCTTGCCTAAGTCCTTGATTTTAAAACACTTGTTTAAATATTCCTTGACTTGATTGCATGCTTGAGTATTATTTCCGGCCAACACTATATCATCAACATAAACTAGAAGAGCAAGAAAAATATCACCTCTTTGGAATGTGAACAAGGTATAATCTGCATGAGATTGTTGAAACCCGTATTTTATAAGTGATGAGCTCAATTTGCTAAACCAGTTTCTTGGAGATTGTCTCAATCCGTAGAGAGATTATCTCAAACGACAGACTTGATCTTTTGTTCCATTGCTAAATCCTGGAGGGAACTTCATATATACCTCTTCATTAAGCTCTCCATTTAGGAACACATTATGCACATCCAGTTGATGCAATTCCCACTGCTTGGCTGCTGCAATAGCCAAAAGAGTCCTAACACTAGTCATTTTTGCAACGAGCGCATATGTCTCACCAAAGTCTTCGCCTTCTATCTGATGGTTACCTGCAATAACTAACCGTGCCTTATATCTTTCCACGGTTCCATCAGAATGATATTTTATTTTGAAAACCCATTTGCTAGGTAATGCTCGTCGATAAGAAGGCAAAATCGTGACTGCCCATGTTCCATTATCTTCTAGTGCATTAATTTCTTTTCTCATGGCTTCTACCCATTGTGGATTTTGCATGGCTTCTTTAAAATGACGAGGCTCACATCCTGCATCAAGAGCTGCTACAAATGCACAATGGGATGGAGAAAATTTAGATAAACTAAGAAAATTACATAATGGATATTTAATACCTGACCTTGCATTTGAAGAGTGACTGATTTGGGTAGCAGGAAGAGATTTATGTGTTTTGATAGCATTGCATTCATAATCTTGAAGATATGCCGGAGTTTTCCTTGATCGCTGGTTTCAGCTTGCTACTGGTTGCGGTTCTGCTACTGTTGGTGGCAATACAAGCACCTGATCGTTGCTCCCCCTGTCAACTGTATCGGATTCAGAAGTTGCTAGACAATCAGCGTCGCCTGCCTGCTCGGGAATTGCACCAGTTTGACCAGTTTGACCAACGTCATGGTTTGGAAGTGCGGCATGTCCAACGTCATTTGTATGTGCCTGAAGTGCACCAGTATTATCGGCGTCTGCATGCGTCCGAAGTATACCATTGTGATCAGCGTCGTCTGCCTGATAATCAAACAGCATGTTTTGTGTCTCATGGGAAGGAGGGATTGCAGATGAAAACTCAGGTTGATGCGATGATAAGGAAGCCAAAGGAAAAATTTCTTCATAGAATTTCACATCCCTGCATACAAAAAATTCTCTATTTTCCAGATCATATAATTTCCACCCCTTTTGAGTAACCGGATATCCTATAAACATGCACTTGCGAGAGCGAGAAGCAAATTTATCCGTAGGTTTTGGTCTAACATTGGCATAACACAAACATCCAAAAATCTTCAAGTGTTCATAATTTGGAGCCTCCCCATATAAAACTTCGTGAGGTGTACTACCAGATAAAATTTTGGATGGTGTTCTATTAATTAAATGGACTCCTGCAAGCACACTTTCTTCCCAAAAATCGACGGGTAAACAAGCTTGAAATAATAATGCCCGAGATACATTTAAAATATGTTTATGCTTTCGCTCTACTCGTCCATTCTGTTCTGGTGTATAAACACACGATGTTTGATGAATTGTCCCATTATCATGATATAACTGCAGCAATTTATTTGATTTAAATTCGGACCCGTTATCAGAACGTAATATTTTTATCCTTTTTCCAAATTGAGTTCTGATCATAGCAAAAAAATTTTGAATACGATCGCATGTTTCCTTCTTTTCAGCTAACATATATACCCAAACAAATCGACTGAAATCATCAACAATCGTTAAAAAATAATGTGCACCTGAAGAAGAAGAAGAGTGATAGGGCCCCCATGTATCACAGTGAATTAAATCAAAACATTCTTTACTGCGATTATTACTTGAATGAAACATAGTCCTAGTGTGTTTAGCACGACAACAAATGGTACATGCCGTTTTAGTTGCTGCAATTTTAGCTTACATATGGGAAAACAACGGAAGCAAAGACACAACTTCATAGGATGGATGACCCAACCGCTTGTGCCACAACTCTGCAGACTCCTGAATTCTCACAGTAGAAACTGAAGCATGCTTTGGTTGAAATACATAAACTCCTGCATGAACATCACCCAATCCAGTCTGCCTCATCAATGCTTGGTCCTGTAAAATACATTGTCCATTAGTAAATATTAGTTTATTATCACTCTGCTGCAATAACTGAGAAACTGAAATCAAATTGCACCGCAAATGAGGAACAAATAAAACGTTAGACAATGTGAACTCATCATTAAACACCATTGTCCCTTGTTGTTCGGCATGAGTAAGTGCACCATTAGGTAACCCCACTGCTAGGGGTTTGATTTTTGTAACATTAGTCAGTAATTCCAAAGAACCTGTCATGTGTTGCGAGGCACCACTATCAATAAGCCATTGTGTCTGAATAGCCTTACCAGATAATTTGTCAGTAGCCTGATGAGAGTGATCCACCAGTGTCATGAGTTTATGCACTACTTCTGGAGTGAGGACTGAATAAGCTGCTGCATTTGCTGTTGAATAAGGCGCTGCATTTGCTGTCGACGAAGGAGCTGAAGGTTGTGACGTATTTCCTGGTTGAAAAACATCCGAAGCTTGCACCGCGAAGGCTTGCTCATGCATCCCACGTCCACCTGATCGTCCCCTTCCACGGCCGCGAGGTGCACCACGGGTAAAGGGAAAGCCAATAATTTTCCAGCAACGAGAGGGATCATGATTAGTCTTCCCACAGTGTGGACACGGTGTGCGAGCAACTGAGGGATCAGCAATCATGCGCGACGCAGCAGCTGCTTTTCCTCCGTCAGTTTCCGTACGCGTTGCGTAACCAACAACAGCACCTCGATCATCATGGTCGCGTGCAATGGCGCGGTGTGTTTCCTCATGTGTAACAGTTGCATAAACCTTATTCAAATTTGGAAGAGGAGAAGCATTAAGAATTTGAGAACGTAAGTTCCCAAATGACGCTTCATCCAGTCTCATGAGAAACTGGTACACTCGTTCATGTTCTTTAACTTCTTCGATTTCTTTTGCCAATGCACAATTATCTCCACACGCGCATGATTTGGAAATCTTGCTGCCTTCGAGCTCATCCTAGATCGCGCGGAGTTTGGTGTAATATTCACCAACGGTGCTTCCCTGCTGCCGTGTGTGTGTGAGAGAAGCTCGGAGTTGATACTGTTTAGGAAAATTCTGAACAGCATACCTCTCCTTTAAGTCATCCCACAAGTCTTTGACGTCATCAAAACATTTGATCAGCGGTTGCAACTGAGGGTCGATTGTGTTGTGAATCCACCCATTTATCATCGAGTTGCACCGGACCCATGCACGCCATTCCGCGGCGTTATCCTTTTCTGGTTTCTTCACATCACCAGTGATGAAGCCTAGCTTGTTCTTTGCACTGAGTGCATTTTTCATTAACTTGGCCCAATTATCATAATTGGCCTCTCCACGCAGTTGCACGATGGTTAGAATCACACCTGGATTATCCGATCCTCCTAGATAAAAAGGAGAGTCAGGATCCGAAGGTTTCAGTGCGCTGCTGTTTTCTCCTGCCATTTCTCACGCACTTGTGTTTGCGGAAGTATTTCGTAGGATCGCTCTGATACCAAGATAAAATATGGCACCAAATGATTTGTTTGCTTCATTAATCAGTTGCCTTTAAATAGGCTTAGAATAAATACAAGTAATTAGCAAAACTTGAAAAGAAACTAACTAACTAATCGCCTAAAGCTGTACGTGAAAATAGGCTAACAGCATGCTAACAATATCAACAACTATGCTAACAAGCTATCAAATAGGAAACTACTAGGATTACAAGGAAACAGAATATATTTACATGCTAACTGCATATATTTTTCCAACTGTTAGTGCCTGTGTATGTAAAATAATAAAAGAAAGCAGAAGAGACGAAGAACCTGGTAATAGAAACAATAAAGAATAAGAACCTGTAACACGGAAACAACACGGTAAATGCAGACTTATGTAGGAAATCCGAGCTCAACTGAAGTTGCTCCCTTAAAGCAAATTTGTCCTCTCCACCAATTTGAGGAAAACCATTATAGGGACAATTTTGAAAGTTTTCAAATAAGGCAGGGGCATTTAGGACAAAAATAAAATAATTATTTCCCATGCGGCCGGCGGCAACGCACGTGTGGTGAACGAAGAACCTGTGTAGAAGAACCCGAGAATAGAAACAACAAAGATTAAGAACCTGTAACATGGAAACAACCCTGTTAATGCATACGTATGCAGGAAATCAAGCCCAACCGAAGTTGTTCCCTTAAAGTAAATTTGCCCTCTCCATCGGTCTGAGGAAAAACCATTGGTGATTGTCACGGACTAGTTTGAAAATTTCCAAATAAGGCAGGGGCATTTAGGATAAAAATAAAATAATTATTTCTCATACAGTTGTGGGCAACGTGCGTGTGGTGAACCACACATCACTTACGTCCTTCCCCCCCTTCAAAAAAGTGGGATGCCCCAAGAGGTATTTTAGGGAGTGACGCTAGACTTTATAAAGATTTCTCCTCCTCCTTTTCCCTCCTATGTGGGACTCCTTAAATCTCACTTCCTTCATCCCCTTCATTTCCTCTATTTCTAACTTCTTATTCATCACCCATGGAAACACCCATGGATTCTTACAAGTTTTACTTGCCTTCCTTTCCTATTTAAATTTTAACAATCCACATAAATGTACGTATTTGTTAAGTATAGTTTCTGTTTCTTCTGTCTGCTTATCCTTTTTTTACCAGTCTATCTTTGCTTAGTTATGGGTTAAATATGCAGCCATATATATACATAACTGTTCTAAATTTTGCCGCTTGATGTTATTTTGTAGGCTGGTGAAATAATGAAATTTGAGTACCAAAAAAAAGTTGCCTCGCTTAACAAGCTAAAGAACAGAGGTACCAACTCTGAAGCATTGGAGAAAGCAAAAGCGGCTGTCAGTCTTTTGCATACAAGATACATTGTAGATATGCAATCCTTGGATTCAACAGTCTCAGAGATTAACCGTTTACGTGATGAACAGTTGTATACAAGACTTGTTCAACTTGTTGATGGGTGAGTTATAATGCAGAAATTAGTATTTATAATTATAGACGGCTGGTCTTGTAACCTTGAAGAAATGTTTTTTTCTTTTCTTTCTTTTTTCCCCCACCTCTTTGGGATGCTACTTCGTTCAACTCTATTTAATCGAAATGTAAATTGCATGTTTCTTGCAGGGAAGCTGTTTGTTTACTAATCCCATTAGTAGTTAAGCCTGATCTGTACGAGTGCATAAACAGACAAACATATCCAAACTTCTCTGCTAATATTTATAGGTTTTTTATGGACTGCAGGATGGCCACAATGTGGAACATTATGCTAGGTCACCATGAGAAGCAATCAAGTACTGTGATGTTGCTGAGAACGTTGGACATTAACCAATCTCCTAAGCAAACAAGTGAAAACCATCATGGCCGAACTCACCAGCTATTGCTTGTTGTGCAACAGTGGCATTCACAATTTGAGTTGCTAGTAAAAAATCAGAAGGAATACATAAAGGCACTAAACGATTGGTTAAAGTTAAATCTTGTCCCTATTGAGAGCAGCTTAAAGGAAAAGGTTTCTTCACCACCAAGAATTACAAGTCCACCCATACAAGGCCTTCTCCGTGCATGGCATTTGCGTCTAGAGAAACTTCCTGATGAGCTTGCTAGGACAGCTATAGGAAACTTTGTTGCTTTGATAGATACTATTTTCCATATGCAAGAAGAAGAAATGGATTTGAAGAGAAAATATGAGGATACACGAAAGGAGCTTGCCCGCAAAACCAGACAATTTGAAGAGTGGTATTCCAAATATATGCAAAAGAAAATACCAGGTGATTTCGATCTAGATGGGGCAGAAGATCCTAATGCTCCTGATGTAGTTATTACTGAGAAGCAGTTTTTGGTTGAACAAGTAAGGAGGAGGTTGGAATCGGAGGAAGAAGCCTATGATAAGCATTGCCACAATGTGAGGCAAAAATCTTTTGGAAGTCTGAAAAATGGCATGCCAGAGCTTTTTAGGGCTCTGTCAAATTTTTCTCTTGAATGCTCCAAAATGTACAGTGAATTGAGGTCAATCTCACAGAACCCAGGCTAGAGTTCATCATAAGGTGGTTTGTGTATTTTCTTTTATTTTTGGTTTACATTGAGGTCTCCTGATTAGGGACGAGTCCTGAAAATTACAAATAAACTGTATTTGAATTTCCATATGATTGCATAGCATGGAAGTTGAATATTAAACGGTACATTTTTTTTTATGTTTTATTATACCTCGTGCTGTTGGCCTGCAGTTGCATATTTGTAATTAATGAAATATCCGGCTGATACGATTATGTTTATAGCTTGTAATAAAATGTTTTAGTCCAATTCTTTTAGTTTATAATACTTTTGCTTGAACTAAAATCATTCTTTTTTGCAAAAGGCGATCCACTGATCCATGCCACAGGTGAGTACGGCCCACTCCTGGATCCAACACTCCAATCGGGCTGCGAGTGAAACGCTGTCTGTGACTCTCCTTCCGCATGTTTTACTTAAAAGATCGAACACACGTACTATATAAATACATTAGGGATGCAGCTTGCTTTTACTACATTACCCATGCAGGTGTTCCTGTTATAATTTACACTGTTCTGTCACTTTTTTACAGAGCCATAATATTGATATTTCTCTCAAGGCCTATTATGAGACTATGACCAGGCAATGTCAATTTTTCAGCTTTTGACCTTCCAACAGAAAGAATGGTCGTAGGAGGCAGAGTATTGCAACTTCTTTACCAATTGTTGTAAATTGATAATCACTTTTTCGTAGCTATCTTAAGGATGAGGATGGTAAACACATAGTCGAACGTGGAGTTAGGAAAATTGGATTTATTTATTTTTTGTGTATTAATTTCACGTAAGTACTCATTATATGGAGTGCTTGATTTATAAAATTTATCGCAAAAATTTCACGTAAGTACTCATTACAAGAAGGAAGTCAAGGGCACCTTGATACCATTCGTTATTCTGTGACTTGATTACATAGGAATATCATGTCGAGCAACAAAAAAAATTTCTCCCCCTGTCTTGTATTTCGTTGTTGAACTTCATTCCCGTAGGTTTTGGTGGCATAGCTATTGCTAGTCTCTTTGCTGCATTTATCAGATAGAAACAATTAGTAACAACCTCTTAATACAGCTGCTTTATTTCATCAAACTAACTCCTATGGTCAATTTAGTATGTAGGTAAAAATGGAGGTGAAATTTTTAATGATAAGTCTTATTAGTAAAGTAGTATTGAATTCTGGTCCATGAATTTTTCAAATAATTTTTACTCCGTACCTAACTGACCATTAGAGTTAAATAATTGAACAGGCCAAAGTGTTATACAGACATTCAGCACATACATACCTATTTCATAGAAAAGCTCATTGATGTTCTCTGCAGTCTTAGCCGAAGTTTCCATGTAGAACATTCCATTCTCTTGAGCAAATTGCTCTCCTTCCTGCAATTATTTAATTTAATCAAACAAGTTACTAGGAAAAAAGAGAAGGGATGAGGGATCTGTTGCAGTTATAAAACGTAGATCTGTCCACAAGTTCTGCAGAGAGGGCAAAAAAGGCACTAGCAAGTAAGGTACTAATTTTTATGTGTTTTCAAATGGAGAAGTGGGAAATAAAGAGGAGAAATGAATGAAAATAGACAAATAGTACAGCTTAGAACAGGTTACTTGGAGAGGGTGTGAAGATGATCTCCAACATTACCTCTGTTTCAACCTCTCTCTTTGGCTCCAGGTCAGATTTATTTGCTACCAATGCCATCACTGACTTTTGACTTCCTACAAGAAATGGTTATGGTTTTATTGTAGTGAGATATACATTAAGGAAACTCTGATGAAAGAAAGATACAAAACATGTTATTTATGTCCGAAGAGACTTAAATAAGTGAATGACTTATAAGTGGATGATTTTGGAGAATGGCTTTAATTCCAACTCTATTCCTTAGGTACAAATTTGAATCGCAGCAATAAGAAAAAAAAAAGGGTGAAGCAATAACTACTCATGGATGCACTTAGCCGCTAACAAAAAACATGGAAGCAGTTAATCAACTCATGCAAACTTATGATTTCTCAACTAATTTGATGAGGAAATATTACAATCTACTTATCACGTGATGTGGAACACAAGGATTCTGCTAACAACCGGATGGTTAGACAAAGACAACACAATAATTGTTTATTTCTTGTGTTTGAAGCATTACCGTGTCTTTGCAATTCCTGAACCCATTTTTTGGCTCGAACAAATGTATCCTGAAATAGAAGTTAAGACCATAGCAATTAGAAAAAGTTTTAAGATTCATGTGCATGAAAGAAATGAAGATTTATGGGAGAGTTAGAAAAAATTCCAAAATACAGGTTATTGATGTAGTATTCAGTATGCTTTCTTTTACTGTTTTCCTTGTTGAGGGTGAGGTCAGAGACACAATTGAAGAGCAAAGAGAACATTACAGAATATTGCATAGGAGGCACAGTATTACAAGTTCTTTATCAAATTCTGTAATCATTTCAAACAAAATTTCAATAAAACCAAATGTTGTATATTTTATTAAAGGCTTGCCATATCACAACTTCCACTGGATCCACTGATAGAACCTTAAATGATAAAACGCAGGAATGGCTGAATGCTTTCAAATTTAACAAACTGAATACTTACAATGCTTGAGATGTCATATACAACAATTGCAGCTGCTGCACCACGGTAGTACATTGGAGCCAAACTATGATATCGTTCCTGTCCAGCTGTGTCCCATATGTCAAACTTCACAGTCGCTTCAGATAATGATAACATTTGAGTGAAAAAAGCAGCTCCTATGGTTGGTTCCTGTATGTAGATTCATGATAAGGTTCCTAAAATGTAGTGGTTACTGTGCTGGATTTACACTGATATGAAAGAAGAAAGAAACTTTCAATTAATGAAATCAAATGGAAGTAAACCTGGTTATGAAAGAATTGGCCTTTTACAAATCTTAATGCTAAACTGGTCTTTCCAGTTCCCATATCTCCAAGAAGAACCTACAAGAAAGGGGCATGATCTATAAATCTGTTAGTCCAATCTTAATAAACATATTTTTAGATGAAAATTAAAAAATGATTGCAAATTTGATATTGTAACATGTAGTTGCTGCTTATGTGAATCTTTGTATGTAATAATCAGATCCGAAGTCCTAACATCTCGAGATTCCATGACCTACTATCACATTGAAAATTTGGTCAAATTACAATAAAAAAATCTTATTGTTTACTTGATCCTGCAATATTGCTCTTCTTATTCTGTTTCTATTCCATAATTATCAACAATCTATTCATGTTATTGTTATTCTAACTATATTAGTTATTCCTTCCTTCATGTAACTTATATGCACTAATATTTGATAGTGTATGAACAATGAAATATGTAATAGATTTTTATATAACCGTAAAAGTCATTAAATTATTCATTTCAAGATCAAAGTGTGGGGAAAATCAAGTACAGATGCAATAAAAATGACTGATATCTGAAGAGAAAATAAAATTTTAAGAGTAAGGTAAGACATACCCACCAGCTTGGCTTGAATGATCTTATTCCCCGGCCTTGCCATACCACTAGGTTGCGAAAAAAAAAAAATTGTACAAGTTACAGAAAAAAGAAGAGAATTTTATGATGAAAGAGAGTATTCTAGATCAAAGAAACTGCTGGCTAGATTTTTCATTGGGAACTTGGCGAAAAACAAGGCAAGAGACTGGTAGTTTTGTGTAACGTTGACTGTTAGTTAGTCAAATGTAAGTCAAAATGTCCTCGGACTGCTTTGATATTCATCTTTAGTGGTGTTCTTATCCATTAAAAAGTATTCTCGTAACCAATATCTTATGGGGCCTAAAAACTGCAAACATGTTGCTATATGTCGGAACATAGAAGAAAAAAACACTTCAAGATACAAAACCCTATTAATTGTTGGCTTCAACCATGTTTCCTTTTCAAAGTACAGCTTGAATGACAGCAACCTAGACATAGTTTTGCTTGCAATGAATGTGAAATTAATTAAGTTTTGAAGTTAATTGAACTACACTGCCGAGTCTTAATTACGTATATATGATTGTTTATTTTACTTAGTGTTTACACAATTTGTTATCTATGTTTCTGGTAATTTATACAGTTTGTTGGATGGTTGTTATGTCGGCTTTCTAATCATTTTGCCTCTCATTAATTAATTAATAACCAATTTGCTCCTCCTCCAGAACTATCCATCATTCTGCCCCCATTTAATCGATTAAGTTGCATTTGTAGTCGATTAAATTGACAAAATACAGGAAATAAGAACCCTGAAATTTAATCGACTACAAATGCATCTTGATCGATTAAATTTCAGGGAGATTTAATCGACTAAACATATTATTTAGTCGATTAAATTGCGCAGGATCAGTTTTTTAAAAAAACCCTCCATTTCGCAAAAGAGGTTATTTTAAAACCCTAGTCGATTAAGAGCCCCCAAAATACCATCTCTTCAAGAACTCACTGAATCCCCTCCCCTTGGCCGTCCCATTGCACCATCATTGGTTTACACCTTGTGAAACTGACATTGTAGGTAACGTTTTGTCACTTGCATTGTGTTTTAAGTATTGGTTAATTTTTTTTTCTCCTTTACATGATATTGTTTCTGTTTTTTTTTTCTATTTTATGGTAGAACGTTGTTTGAGTTTTTGTGGCTTTATGTTAGGGATAGGGTGTTGATTTTGATGTGAGGGTTAGGGTTAGGGTTTCTGTTTATGTTAGGGTTTCTGTTTTAGGTTAGGGTTAGGGTTTCTATTTTTATGTTAAGGTTAGGGTTTCTATTTTATTTTAGGGTTAGGGTTTCTATTTTATTTTAGGATTAGGGTTTAGATTTTGATATTGATATTTGAAATTTTTTGATATTGTTATTGTCCAATTGATTTTTGATATTGTTATTGTTCGAGTTATTGATATTGTTTCCACTTGCATTGTAGGTACGCTTGTTAAAATGGCTGGCCATAGAAGATCAAGAGTGTCGAAAGTGAGAGACGCACGAAGCAACGACAAGACCGGCCGTCTTCGTCAAGGCCAGAAGACGAAGAACCTGCTACTGTCGACCTCCCATTTGGATACTTGTTTGAGAATGACCCCTCGGTTCACGATGCATTTGTACGTGACCATGTGAACCGACCCTTATGTCCTCCGAAATCATTGGATACAACATTTTTTAACGCGGAGGGATTTGACATTGTGGAGTTGTTGGAGGCACATCTTAGGGTGTTGGCTGAGATGTTGTGTCTGTATTCAGAGCTGATGGTGCGAGCCTCCTACCATAACCTCAGCTATATACAGGGTGAGTTGAGGTCGAGGGTCTGCGGGGTGGATATCATCATGACGGCTCCGGTATGGTTGGAGTTACTGGGCAATGACTTTGATTCTTCGCAGACTATGGAGTATGACGCAGATAGCAACGTAACACTTCCTGGATATTCCCAAGGTGATGCCGTGGAGGAGGCCAGGAGGCCTGATATCGGACGTGGGCAAAACATTCACTACGGTGGGCCTGCTTAGTGTAGAGTCTCGTATACTACACTATGTCATCACCCACATTCTGTTTTCGCGAGCTTTCAATCATTCCAGGGTTTTGGAACATGACATTCCTATCATGTGGGCTATCCGACATAGTGTTACGGTGAACTGGAGATACTATATCTGTTGGATGATGTTTAAGGCCAAACATAATGGTGCACTTCCATTTGCTTGTATGATACAGAGGATATTGGTTCACTTTGTTATGTCCGTTATACATTCCTTTAGCTAGTTACAACTACATCGGTGCATATAACTTCTACGACTCGTCAATGAATATTAAGGGTATTTTTGGATGGATTTTTTTTCTCCAAAAATAATTATTTTCAGAAAGAAAAAAAAATCACTTCTTATTACAAAGTCTATTTGAATGTTTGCTCTAAAAAACACAAAAGTCACAAAAAAAACCCAAAAATTTACTTCTTTTGGAAACTAAAAATTTTAGTTTATAAAAAAAAAACAGAAACCAACAACTAAATATTTTTTTCAAAAATAAAATATTTTTATAAAAATATAAATAACTTAAGTTTTGGTAAAAAAAACACTTCTAAAATAAGCAAGGTATAAAAACTTTTTTTTACAAGCTCATTTGGATCTAAGTTCAGTTAAAAGTTTCTCAAATTTTCACTCTCTTCATTTTCTCTGATCTTTCAATTCTCTTCCGCTCTGAAACCTAATTAACATTAAGATTATGCACCTCAATACACCCTTATGACATGCACGTTTGTTTATAATTCCTTGGCAATTAGGATATGTTTTTCATGTACTCTGACTCTCTGAGTACTCAGTCCACTAAAAACATAACACATGAATAGCATAATAAATATACATGCTATTACATCGAATTTAAAATATTATTTAATAGGTATCTAACCCACTTAAACTTTTTCACTAAGCAAAAAAATAATATTTAATAAAATTTAAATTAAACATGAACCATTTAGATCAATCCTATTTGCTCAACTTGCACAAAATTACTTAAGTTAGAATATATGGTCTTTTGTACCCGACCCAAAAGAACACTGAAATGGCTTTACAATTTTAAGATATGATATATGAAATCATTTATTAATTTAATTAATTTTTAAATTAATACCGTTTCAATCCATGAGGCAGGTAATATAGCGAGAAGTTGATAAGTATTTAGTGACAAGGGATTGTAGTTTGTCCTTTAACATGACACTATCAAATTTCCTACACACACAACATTTTGTGGGACCCACACTTTTTAAAACATAAAAAAATTAAAAAAGTTAAGGCACGCAAAACGAATCTCTATAACATTACACAATCACTTTTCCTACAACATAACTCTTATAAAACCCTTAGTGATAAATGTACGTATTTAAAAACAAAAAAATCTATTAAATGATTAACAAAATGCATTTATAACTTTTTAAATTTTTATTTGAATCATTAAATAAGTAATTGATAATAACAATAATAATAAATTAAAATGTAATACAATATTATTGTTAGAGTTTTATTAGTCTCATTTAACATAAGATAGTTATCCGTAGGAAAAAATAGGTGGATCCCACTATTACAAGAAAAAAGAAAAAGAAAAAAGTGAAGTAAGAAAATAGAAGTGAGAAAAAAATAAGAAATAATATCTCGTGTGAAAGTAGGTGAGTAATATTTCACTTATTGTTATTAAGATAAGCTCCAAAGATGTCCTTTTTCAACTTGTACTTGAAGCAGAAGAGAAGCTGATGACTTGATAGAAATTTTAACCAAAGAAAAAGGAGAAAGACATATCAAACAGAAAGTAGGAAACACCACCACAATTTCCCAGACCAAAACAAAAACCAATAATTTGGTACATACCATCATTCAATGTTCAATTGTTCATACTTGGAAGATAAAGTGCTATCAAATTCCACGGAGTGTTTAAGGTCTTAAAAGAAAAGCCATGCCCATGGCATTGCCAATCTCAAAAGCTACCTGCTACACCCATCTCCTACGCCAACTTCGTCAGCATCAAAACCACGTCGTTTTTTCCCGCCGTTGTCGAGTCACCTGCACGGTGGGTCTCATGCTCTTCCTCACCACCGTGTACATTTTCTGGCCGTCCGATCCTGACCTTAAGATCGTGCGGCTGAAGCTGAAGCGGGTAAAGGTGCACCCTGTGCCGCGCTTCACCGTAGACATCTCCATGCTCCTCACGCTGAGGGTACACAACGCTGACGTGTACTCCATGGACTTCGGAGCAGTTGACGTGGTCGTCGGCTACAGGGGAAAGAGCCTGGGGCACGTGAAGTCGAAGCCCGGGCACGTGTGGGCGAGGGGATTGTCCTACGTGGATGCTGACGTGGAATTCGCCGGGATTGGTCTGCTCCCTGAGATGGTGCTGTTGCTGGAGGACCTGGCCAAGGGTACGGTTCCCTTTGATACTGTTAGTCAGGTTAGGTTCCAACTGGGGCTTCTCTTCTTTCACTTTTCCATGAAGGTAATTTCACACTTCCAATAATCAAATTACATTCACTAATATTTTATTTTTATTTTATTTTGAAAAAAATGAAATTTTGATCAATTCATAAAAATAAAAATAAAAAAGTCAGAGTGAAAATCCAAAGAAAAGAAACCCGAATGACTGAAAAGAAAACTATTGGATCAGAAACGGGGAAATTATTCCTTCCTTGAGTTTTTCTAGTACTTTTAATTTGTTGAACTGCTCCATATTGTAAAATGATAATATCCAAACAGGCAAAACTATCATGTGAGGTTTTGGTCAGTACACTAAACCAGACAATTGTTCGTCAACACTGTCTTCATGTGGTAAGCTTAGTGAGATTGTGCTGCAATTTGTTGATAAACTTTCTAAATGAATGTGCTTATATATTAATTACACTGAATCTGTATATGATCTCAATACAGTGATGAACCGAAGGGCTAGCCAGTAGCCACAAAGTGTCTGCAAAAGAGACAAAAGATGTTAGCCCCCTCTCCATATTTATACATCCATTCAAATTTAGGTTGGTGCAATGTGAAGCATCACTGTGAGACCATATATTCGTACTTAGTAGCTGGTTCCCCAACCCTTGTATTAAAGTTACATATATACGACGATCATTATTGTAACAGCGGATAATGATTCAGTCTTGTAAATTATGCTACAAGCCGATTTTAAATGTTTCTTATTGCTTTTTATTTTTTTGATCAGAATTTCATTGTTTTTTTTTTATTGTCAGGTTTTTAATGAGAATTTAAACTCAAGGTTATTTCTTTCCATTTTTTCAAAACAATAATAATAAGTTAATAACTCTGTTGGTCAAAGGGGTGGAGGCGGAAGGAAAAGGAGTGGAAATAAATGTTGGGTGACGCCCAGTAATGTTATTAATTATCACACTAAAGGGCTATTTGGTATGAGAATTTTGGGAGAAATTATGGGAAAGTGAGGTGCGGAAAAAAAAAATTCTGCATTTGATATGACTAAAAGAGAAAATATTTGCGGGTTTATTTTTTTCTGATCATTTGAGTTATAACTACAAATTCCCAAACTCAAATACCATCTTTCTCATGGTATTTATTTCTTCCCACCTCATGGAAAATGAGATAATTTTATGAGACGAAACTGCCCTCGATTTAAGTTATCAGGTTTCTTTCTCATGAGATGGGCAATTTTGTAATTTCAGTTCAAATTTTCAGCTATATTTTACAATCAATCAAACATACAATTAGTTAAATTAACCCAATTTTTACTAGAAAATTTTATTCTATCAAACAACTTTTTCATAATATTCTAGGCAAAAAAAACAAATTTCATCGTATTCTCAAAATCATAATTCTGAAAAAAAAAAAAAAAAATCTCCTGAACTAAACTCTCTTGAATTATTATCACAGTATAATGTTGCACGACTGTACTAAGTGGATTAAACTCGAAACTTGAAAGGCCCATTTCGTGGCATAGAAGCGCTCCAACATTTCAAAATTGGACTTCGAGCATGCTTTAATACGTTCCCTGATCTCTCTGCTAACTTCCCCATCTTTTTAAGTCCTTGTTTACGAGGTATCTTTTTTTAGCTTCTTTTTTATTATAAACAAAAATTAGATTAAATAGATTTTTAAAAAATCTCTTATAATAAAAAGAGTTTTTTTTATAATAAAAAAAAGCAAAAGACAAAACTATTAAAAATAAATTTTTTAAGTTGTATCAACTTGTTTTAAAATAAACAATTTTTTTTGAAATTAACAGCTTTTAAATATTTTTTAATTAAAAATTTTATATAATCATAATATATCTTTTAACTTTAAAGCTTTTTTTTTTGTAGTTTTAACTTAAAAGTAATTTTTAGCTAGTTTAAAAAAAAAGGCTCTAAAAGAAATAAAAAAAAAACTTCTCTATCCTTCGGAAATTCCTTTCTTTCTATTCCCATTTGAGCAGAGCTACTTAATTTGCGAAGAATTTTAAGTACATAGCTCCTAGATAAATAAATAAATACAACTAATGTGTAAAGTGATGTTTACTTTAAGAAAGAGAAAACTGTTTGTTTTTACTACAAAAGAAATTTTTTACCATATTCATATAAAAATGAGTGGAACTCATTATAATAATAAGAAGAAGAAAAAATTAATAAAATATAATGAAACCTACTCAGTTTTTATGTGATAGTAGTAAAAAATAATCTACAATAAAAACATTAAATAACAAATCATTTGAGAAAAGTATAAATATAATGGTTAATTGAATAACATTATAAAAAAACAATATTTATTACTATATAGTATACATGACATATTACCTGTACGCGATACCTAACAAGGCACACAAAAATTGACATCACTGTCATTTGTAAAAAGAAATTGCATTTAATATATCATTAATTCATCATTTAATGTACCATTAATTCTTATTTAATAATCTTTAATTCACATTTTAAAAATATATAATATTTCACCAATTCACCTTATATATATATATTTATATATATATATGAGAGAAAAATATTTCTCAAGTTGCTTGAGATATATTTATCTCCGGTTATCTCAAAATTATATCTTCTTGTTTATTTATTTTCTTCTATTAATTAATTAACCTTCAAATGATTATGATTTTTTTCTTTCTCTTCCTTTGCCACCATTGATTTGTCTTTATACAGTTATGATTTAGTGGCCGAAGATAAAGTTATATCAAGCACAGCTTGAGAAACGATAAGTTTTATATATATATATATATATATATATGAGGTAGGATCCTTTGATACCGGTGTTAAATTTGAAATTTGACACCTCATCTGAGTTTCCTTAGATAAAAAAAGATCAATGGTGTCACATGCTTACAAATCAGAGTCGTTGAACTTTTTTTATGTAACGACTCTCAGATGAAGTGTCAAATTTTAAATTTGACACCGGTGTTAAAGGATCCTACATATATATATATATATATATATATATATATATTAATGGGAAATGATAGTCTCATGCTACATAAGATACCTATATCATGTAATACACCCATAGAATTTTGTGCCACTTTTTCTTTTCTTTTTAAATTGTGGACCCCACATATTTGTATCACCCACATGAGAGTACTAACTCGTGTAACATGAGATTAGTAAACTCCTATATATATATATATATATATATATATATATATATATATATATATATAGGGATCTTTTGACTCTAGAGTAAGACTTACAAGTCTTACTCCCTATCTCAACCATTGATTCCGTCCATCTAACGGTTATCTATACCAATTACTTTTAAAAAATATAATCCTGAAATAAATTAAAATTATAAAAACATCCTGATTTTCATCTCAAAACGACGTTGTATTGGACTTACTGCAGATAACTTATCTGCAGTAACTGTAGAGAAAGCGAACTCATGTTATATACTCCAACGAATATACACTTAAGTGTTTGTACTCCCAAAATACATAATATAGTTTATAAATAAAAAGTTTATAAATATAAATAAAGCTAATAATAATAATAATAATAATAATAATAATAATAATTCCTCAAATTGTTGCTTATTTCCTGGATTGACTTTTACTATGGACAGGAAAATGCAAAAGTTATCTTGAGGAAATATATTGTTTATAACATTCTGGCACATCAAATTCATAGGATAGGACTTAACTGTTGCCTGTTTGAAACAGCAATTTCATTTTGGGTAAAACAACGTTTTATTCTATAATTTTTCTTCTTCTTCTTCTTTTGGATATATTCTATAATTTATCTAAATAGCCCAATGCTTTCTCCCATGTAACTTTACTGCTCAAACCTTGTCCAATGTGACTACATATATTTCAGCCACGGAGCAGTTTCAAAAAGTCATAAATTGAAATTTCAGTTTCTGACACACCCAAAGGTATTTTTAATGCTTCGAGATTATATCAATGGGATAGGATATTATGACACACAAATAATGTTACGCACAATGTTACGATCACATTTTAACCGTTAATTTCTGTCAATCAACGGTTATCATTTTTCAAATCAAACTCATTAATTAATTATTAATTCGCAATAAATGATAATCGTTGATTGGAGAAAATTAACAGTTAAGATGTGGTCGTAACATTGTGCCTAACATTATTTGTGTGTCACAATATCCTATCCCAATATCAATATCATCACAATTTCCATAGTCTTTATTTTCATCTCTTCCTATTATAAGTACGTGCTTTGATGGTGCGGTGGCACATTGTAAAAAATAGTCTTAGAGCGAGCATGCTCTTGAAACACCTCAGTAGATGGTACCCATAACCATTTTATGCTCCCAAGTTTCTCTGTTCTATATACCATGAACCTTGAAAATTGCCCGTGTGTACACACCAGAAACAGAAACACCAACACTTCATCAAGATATGTGAAAATCTGCTACAATCCCATTGTGTGTGTCGATGAATTGGTTAGGAGATTGAAGATGCCAAGCTGGAGAACTTTTTGGAGGAAGACCAAGGGGAAAAAGAGGAGGTTTTTCAGTTCTTCACCCGCAGTTCATGTCCAATACGACCCCAGCTCCTACTCACAAAACTTTGATGATGGTTATTCCACCGACCCTGATAACGTTTCTCGGTCATTCTCAGCTCGATTCGCAGTCCCCTCCAAGATTTTTGAGAACAGTGAAATGGTGGGTGGTGGAGATAAATAATAAGATCAACATGGTGTAATTTTGATTTCTTTTGAACTCAAAATTTTACTTCAATGAATTATGATGTGGTTGCTCGTGCCTCATAGATTTGGATATCTCGTTATCTCTTTGATGAGAAGTTATAAAAGAGATCGATGTTATTTGAGTTTTCCAATTCTTTTTCTTTGTCATTCGCTTTTCCTCTTCATCTTTTTTTTTTTTATATAATTTTCCTTCATCATTTCCTATACGGTACAGTTGATTAGGGTTTCATGAACATATTCAAATCGTGATGACGAAACTGAAAAAAAAAATAAAAAAACAAAAAATCTGGCAGTAATCAAATAAATCGAAAATCAAAAAATCAAACATCAAAAAAATCTCGACATATTTTAATTGAATTGGATCGATTTTCAGTTTAGTTAATAAAAATTCGATCCAAAACACTTGAATTTTCTAATAATTTGTAAAAAAAAAATTGAATGAGATGATTTTTTTTACAAAACCCAATGCAAATGGTGAACACCCTACAATTCATGATAAACTTCCTTTCCATTGTTTTGATTGACCCTTTGACTTATAGCTAAAAAAACTTTAGTCAAGTTGCCGTCAGTCCAAGAGTATCGAACTGCATTTAAAATATCATTAAAGAAGCCACTCAAGTTCATAAGTACAGGTTTAGTATTTGTTCCTCTTTTTGCTTAAGATTAGGACATTTCAACATTGTAAATAATTATAGAAAAAAGTGTGTATTTTAAATGATAACAACTTATATCATTTCAATAATTTTTAAATATGTATTTTTAAGAATATATAGTTGTAATATTAAAGTTATATTTTTTTATTTTCCATTTCAACAGATATTTTTTGAAGAGAGAAAAAAAAAATACAATTTTAATATTATATCAAAAAAATATAACTTTTAATATTATAATTATAAGTTGCCGATACATAATTAAAACTCTTAAAAGAAAATACCTTCTATCCTTTAAAATGACATTCACTTAAACCCAAAATTATAATTAAAAAA